GCCTCAAACACTCATTTCATAGTCTAGGAGAGATGGAGAGAGCCTGTTATCAATGTTTAGGTGAGGTCAGGAAGTTGGCATCAGATGGGTGTTTTCAGAATTTCATTCCCCTTTTGGCTTTCTGCTTAGAGTCCGTTATTTGGATTTAGCAGGTTTGCTAAGTCTCAGTCCTTTCTGCCAAGATGCTCAATATCCAGAGAGGAAAGAAGATAGGGAGAAGAGAGGAATTAAAAGAGTATTCCTGCAGTTCCACAACTAATCCCACTGTAATGTTGAATATTCATAAGAAATAAGCTAAAAGCCCATGTTGCTGTTACCTGTACATTCCTGTAGCTTCCTACATAAAATGGTCATTGAGACATGGTAGAAGACCCTCAGTCTGATCAGTGTACTTAACCAGCAGCAGGACTTGCTCAGACTTTGACTGTCCAGTGAATTATTTGGGGCCAGGGTGAGGATTCCAGTGCTCTGTACAGTTACACCAAGGCTTATGGAATACCTAACAGGTCTCTAGAATTGCAGTCTCAGCCCTGTAAATTACTCCCACAAAAAAACAGCCTAACAAAAGCTGAGCATAACAAACATCTTAGAACATGACTTCTCTGCCTATGAACAGTCTGAATAGCACATTACTTCCACCTTCATCTGTGTTAAGGTGAAATTTAAAGCATTAGAGTGACTTTCCTCCAACACAGCACATGTTTGTAAGCAGTGAAACCAAGATTTCCTCCCTGGCTCACTCTGCCCCTTCACATGAGAAACATGTATGTATTGTAAGATTAAATCACCAACTCTGAGAGGCACAGTCTGATATCTAAGCACAGTATATGCAGGATAAGGTGAAAGTCCAGAAATAGTTATGTGATGGAAGCTTCAGTATAAATAGTTCATACATGAAAATAGCAACGACCAAGAAAGGACAATCAGTGTTGCCATATTTCTCAGAGTAAAATAAATATACATGAATATTATATATCTTCTGTGATAATTGTGAATCAGTATCATTGATATAACCTCTAGGAAATCCTCAGTGCTTTAATTTACATAAAAGACCAATAAGTTTCCAAATAAAAAGAGGATTCTTAGAAAACCTGATGCTGTGATACTGCTGGGTTTGTCAGAGTGGCAGCATGTCAGGTAGTGTGTCAGCCACTGAAAGAACCCATCAGCTCTGTATCAAAGGCTGATGCAGATTCCAGCTCCACTCTTTGTCTGCATGTCTCATATATTTAAAAATCAGACAAGTACTTGCAGACTGAGGCTCAGGAAAGGTGCCAATTACCCTCCAAGGCTGTTATTTAGTGCTCAGAGCAAAGGGGCACAACTTGACAGTGATGTATCCAAAGGCAGAAGGAAAACTTGAGGTCTGTTCTGTGAATTCCAGCAGAGTGGGCTGAGTTAAACCTGCACACAACCACCTGCTACAGTGGGAGGAGGCCGAAGGTGCCACCTCTTCACTTTTTTAAATTGGCTAAATAAATGAGATTTTCTTCATCAGTATCTTCTCCCCACTCTTCTCTGTTTTCTTTTAGTTAGTGAAGACATTTGAAACAATCTGACTTCTAAAGTAGGTCAAATAATACCCCCAGCACAGAGTTAATCCCTGGGCATAATACCAGTGAGGCCTGTAAGAGTGTCTGACTTCAAATACCTTCCACAGATCACAGCCTTTGTGTTCCTCCCTCCTTGCCACAAAGTTCTGGAGATCA